TATTACTGATTTACTGGTAGTCTCGAAACTCTACTTAAATGCGAAAAATAAGTAACATAGTCGATTGTTAAAGCGAATATACGTTTGCCTTATCGACAATGCCACCAAAGAATGTGATATGGAAAAGGCCTGGCCTTCCTTGAAATTCACATCTGCCCTGTGACCCAAGGCTACTCGTGCCAATGTCAGGGTTCGACTCCCGCTGGGGGTGTTAATAAGACCGAGGCGGGGTAGAAGTCGCAGTCCACTCCTGCCTGGATGAGAGCAACTTTTGGGAAAGCAAGGCCATGTGAAATTCACTCGAGACGTCAGCTCTACTCATATCATTGTGGGAAAATTCTTCTTTTACCAGTCCTTCATCACATTAAACGAAATAGGGTGAATACAGCTCATATTACTCTTTGTTTACATGAAAACATTGGAGATTCTTTCACATTAGTGAAGGAGCGAAGATCTTTTATTGTGATGTAACAAATAAGAGCATTTAACATAACCCTTGCTTCCTATAGGGTATCCTCATTCGGGACAGATTCAAACTTCGACTTCACTTGGGTCTCCCCACACTCGAAGTAAGAATCAAACCCAGCCTGCACGCAAATACTATTTGTGAAGCATTGTTAAATGAAATTCCCTGGTATCATGGGTAAATATGTAATGCACTATTAATCGTAAATGATTATCATCATTATTAATATTAGCAGCAGTAGTATATTAAATATTCTTCCTAGGTCGCATACAATCAGATGACTAAGCCTCCGGATTACATTGAATCAAACCCAGTCTGGATGAAAACACCTCATGGAAAGAAAATTATGGGAAATTCTAGCACGAATTTCCATTTCGACGGAAAGGTTGGTTGTAATGAATTCATGAAATGGCCTCGCCGGAAACCGAAGGAGGATTACAGCAGATGGAAGATTGTTGAATTGTGCGAACAAGTCCTCGGCTTACCGCCCTGCGACTTCAATGAAACTGTGTTTAGCTTTCGTCTGTACTGTGGCATCATCAGATCAAGAGTCTGTACTTTACGAAATAGAGCAAAAGTATACTCAACTCGCTTTTCTATACATTCAAATTCGTAGTCGGCCACCTCTTTTCTTGCTTTAATATATTTTTGCTCTATTTCGTACAGTACCGGTTCTTGATCTGACGCTGTCTGTTACCGCAAGACAGACGAAATCTTAGCGCAGGTTCATCCGAGTCGTATGACAGTGAGCCGAGGACTTCTTCGCACAATACATCAGTCAGCCTTAGGCGGCAATCCTCCTTCAGTTTCCGGTGATATCACATCACGAATTTCCTGCAACCAACATTTCCTTTGAAATGGATACTCATATCACAATATATTACCAAGAAACCCAGTTTTTCTTC